CGACCTCAGGTGATTGCCCACCTCGGCCTCCCAAAGTGCTGGGATTACACGGGTGAGCCACTGAGCCCAGCCAACCTCCTGCATTTCTTCACACTGCTTGCCAATAGCATCCTTCCCTCCCTGCAACCCTGACAGAGACCTCCCAATCCACCTCCACTGTCAGCATCTGGGCTTCCCCTTTCCCTCGCCGCTGTGATCTCTGGGTGACACTGGCAATGCCAGCCACTCACTCTCTAGCCGCTGTACCAGCTCTTTGTCCTTTACCACCACCTCAGGCTTCATGTTCATGGCCTCTGCAGGGATATAGAGGACCGTGTGCCCCTCCAGTTTGTACCGAGTGTCTAAGGAAAGGAAAGGACTGTGGAAGTCCACAGAAGGGATGAGCTCTTGCTGCCCCAGCAGGGATCACGGTTGATGATCATGGGGGGCCAGGACATATATGCATCACAAGAAATTGTCATAAAATAAAATCAAAGATCTGTATGGCACCTTCAACACTCTCTACCACGAGACATGCAAGTCCACCCACTGCCCCCATGGCACGTATATTTCCCTTTCTCCCATATGTACTCAGAAATTTCCAAGTCTGCTGGGCACGGTGGCTCACGCCTGTAATCCCAGCACCTTGGGAAGCTGAGGCGGGCGGATCATGAGGTCAGGAAATTGAGACCATCCTGGCCAACATGTTGAAACCCCGACGCTATTAAAAATGCAAAAATAAGCTGGGTGTGGTGGCGCGCGCCTGTAGTCCCAGATGCTTGGGAGGCTGAGGCAAGAGAATCACTTGAACCCAGGAGGCAGAGGTTGCAGTGAGCTGAGATTGTGCCACTGCACTCCAGCCTGGCGGCAGATCGAGCCTCCATCTCAAAGAAAGAAAAAAAAAATGGTCCAAGTGTAAGCTGGAGCAGGTCTGGCCAACCAGCTCTACAGCAGAAAACTCCCAATTAGAAGGCGAATCTTGTACCCTATTCTACCCATTCAATAAGCATGCTGAATACTTCCTCCATGCAGGCTCTCAAATGTATGTCCCACCACCTCACTGGTTGTACAGTTGGGGGACACTAAGGAGAAACGAGTCACTCTGGTCTTCCCACTTACCTGTCAGGCAGGCCAAGAACCTGTGCAGATGAGAAGCAAAATGATTTCGAATGCTCTCAGGCCAGGCTGTATTTGCAAAGATCTGAGGGGCAAAGACTCCACTGAGCAGCCGAAGCAGGGCTGGGATATAGGGGCCCCGCACTGTCCCAAACTGCACAGTTGCCTCAAAGTTTTCCGGGGTGATGGGGACCGGTACTTGGCGAATGAAGTAGACAAGCTGTTTCTGGGTCTGCATGGAAGACAGCAGATCAGAGTTCAGTCTCCAGACTCAGCCATGACACCCAGTCACGAAAGCCTGGCTGAGTTCTCTGTCAAGTCCCTCAAGGTATCCTAATCCTTCTTTAAGAGGAAATGCCATGAAGTGCTTTGTGTTCTTTTCAGGAATATAAGATTCCACATCCAGAGATGTGGGGAGGAAATGCAGAGAGTATGCTTTGAGACTACAGACTGTACATTTTGTCCAATTCGACTCCGGAACATAGTACAGTGCCTGGCATATAGTAGATGCTCAATGTTTGTTGGATGGATAAATGGATGGATAGGAAAAAGGGGAAGGCCGGGAGTGGTGGCTCACACGTGTAATCCCAGCACTTTGGGAAGTTGAGGTGGGTGGATCATGAGGTCAGGAGTCCAAGACCAGCCTGGCCAACATGGTGAAATCTCATCTCCACTAAAAATACAAAATTTAGCCAGGCATGCTGGTATGAACCCATAATCCCAGCTACTCGGGAAGCTGAGGCAGGAGAATCGCTTGAACCCGGGAGGCAGAGGTTGCAGTGAGCTGAGACCGCGCCATTGCACTCCAGCCTGGGTGACAGAGGGAGAATCCATCTCAAAAAAAAAAAAAAAAAGGATGGAATGGATGAAGCACTTCAACCAATGGAAAAAGCAGAAAGGAGAAGGACTGCAAGGAAGAGACAATTATCTAGCATTTTCCATTCTGGTTGCATATATTTCTCCCCAAATTTTTCATTTATGCTGCAATTTTGCTTATAGTGAGTTTTTGTTGTTTACACATAAAAACACATATGTTTCATGTAATTGAATAGAAAACTCCTTAAAGTTCTGACAGCTACATACATAGAAAGTCCATTCCCATCCTAATATCAGACTCATCTGTTTTGTTTTTTTAGTGCTTTTGTGACTAGTCTTGACAATTTATTTAATTTTTAAAACAAAGTAAAACACAAGGAAGAAATTAATAATCATCCATCTTCCTACTACCCAGAAATAAATATTGGCATTTTATGTCCATTTTTTAAAAGCTTAACAACTATTATTTTTGTGAAGATGACATATGTTAATTATAAATAATTGGAACAATGAAGAAAAATACAAAGATAAAAGTTAAAATGTCATCTAAAATTCCACCACCTAAAAATTAATATTGTTAATATTAGAGAAAACATTATTCTACATATTTCTCTATAGCTATATACATATAAAAATTTTAATTAAAATCATTATTTTTAAATAGAATCAAGCTGTTTTAATTAAAAGTATTAAATTTAATTTTACTTGAATTTAAGTTAATAAAATGAAATAGAAGTAGCTATAAAGGAATTGCTGAGCTTCAAATAAATGCTTCTTCATCCAGAAGAGAGGTTTCTTCCCAAAGGACCCCTTTGTAAGGTGATAAAAGAAAAGAATTATGGGCCGGGTGCAGTGGCTTATGCCTGTAATCCCAGCATTCTGGAAGACCAAGGCAGGTGGATTACCTGAGGTCAGGAGTTCAAGACCCGCCTGACCAACATGGTGAAATCCCTTCTCTACTAAAAAATACAAAATTAGCTGGGTGTAGTGGTATGTGCCTGTAATCCTAGCTACTCAGGAAGCTGAGGTAGGAGAATCACTTGAACCCAGGAGGTAGAGGTTGCAGTGAGCCAAGATTGCACTGCTGCACTCCAGCCTCGGTAACAAGAGCGAAACTGTTCCAAAAAAAAGATTATGAAAAATATTATGAGTTTTCTCACTAACTTTCAATTTTGAGTTCTATTAACTCAGTGCTTTGAAAAACCCTATCCAGAATCCAATCCAATATCACACATGCTCATGTCTCATAGTCTCCTTTAATTTTAAACCATTCCCCAATCTTTTTCTTTCATGGCATTGCTATTATTATTATTGTTACTTTTTATTTGAGACAGACTCTCACTCTGTCACCCAGGTTGGAGTACAATGGCACAATCTCTCACTGTAGCCTCTACCTCCTGGGTTCAAACAATTCTCCTGTCATGACATCGATATTTCTAATAGTCCAGGTCAGTTTTTTTTTCCAAAACGTCTCTTAATTTGGATTTATCTGATTGTCTCTTTATTGTCAGATTTAAGTTAAATATTCTTAGCAGGATTGCCACATAGGGGATATTCCTAAAGAATTAATTTTTCCTACAATTGTAGTAGCTTAACAAAGATGTATATTGACATTAAACACCGTGTAACAGATTTTGTGGAATACAGTGTGTCCTTTTTAATTCCCAGATTTAGTTCCATCTGCATTTCAGGGAAATTCTTTGTATCTTATCTTTGCATTTGTATTGTTTCATTTGTTGGCTCTCTATACAAGATCATCTGTGTTTGTCTTTCATATCTGTTAGCTCCTCTAATTGTGTTAATGTCCTTCTGCATACACTGTGATTACCTCAAGCCTCTGCTCTGTCAGTGATAGGGTTTTGTGGGTTAGCAATTCAGTTCCTTGCTGTTTCCAATCTACTAGTTTTGTAACATGCTGCTTTATTCATTTCCTAAAATTCTCAATCTCCCTTTTATCTCATTCTCGAATTTTATCATTTCAGTGCTCAGCTTTTTTTAATTGAATTCCTGATCTTATGAAGCTGTAGTAGAACATGGTGCTGCTGTGAGGAATCTCCTCCTGTTCATTCAGTTATGTTTTCCTCTTTTGCACGCTTTGTTCCTCTTTTTGCTTTGATGTAATGGGCTTGAGTTGCCATGCAATTTCTTTTCATTTTGCTCGTGCTTGGGTAGCAAGCATGTGAACTCATTCTTTTTGCTCTAATGTACCGTGGGTGACTTGACCTCCCACTGTGAGAGACGAGTTTATTTTTGCCCCTGGAAGTCAAAGTGAAAGGGTTGGGTGTTTTATGTTTTATTCACTTTTCTTTGGCCTAAGAGAATTGCCTCAGGGAATGGACAGGTGGTTAGTGCTAATTTAAGGCAGGAAAAATCTTTGTTAAAACACCTAGGCTTTTATTCTTTTTTTTTTTTTTTTTTTGAGATGGAAGTCTTGCTATGTTGCCCAGGCTAGATTTGAACTCCTGGGCTCAAGTGAATCTCCTGCTTCAGCCTCCAGAGTAGCTGGGACTAAAGGCAAAGGCCCATCTTTCTCTCTAAGATTTTATTATACTCTTTTTTTTTTTTTGAGAGGGAGTTTCGCTCTAGTTACCCAGGTTGGAGTGCAATGGCGCAATCTCGGCTCACTGCTACCTCCGCCTCCTGGGGTCAGGCAATTCTCCTGCCTCAGCCTCCCGAGTAGCTGGGATTACAGGCGCGCGCCACAACGCCCAGCTAATTTTTTGTATTTTTAGTAGAGACGGGGTTTCACCATGTTGACCAGGATGGTCTCGATCTCCTGACCTCGTGATCCACCTGCCTCGGCCTCCCAAAGTGCTGGGATTACAGGCTTGAGCCACCGCACCCGGCCTATACTCTTTCAAGTTCATTCCCTGTAGCTAGGGGAGCACTATGCCTGAGGCAGGACATTTCTTTGACTTGGTGCATATGCTTTTCATTGGTCACCCCTTTTTAAAGTGTATTAAATTAAATTATACTTCCTTGTTTACTCTCAGGGCTTTTTTGTGGGGTTTTTTTGGTTGTGTGGTTTTTTTTTAATTTTTCGGTGGTTTTACTTTTTGCTCATTTTATCAGACATTCAAAGGTAATAATTTTTTTAAAGAAAATACTTTATTATGTCATAAAAAAGGCATCAACTAGATTCATACTTGTTTGAAAAAAATTTGAAAATTTATTCATTAGACAGTATGTGGGCATCCTGTTCCACATGGGAATGAGAAGATGCTATAGGTTCTCTAAGTATTGCACAGTCTGAAAAAATAACAAAAAAGGGGAAGGGAAGGGAAAAAAAATCACATGATATTGGGAACCTCTCACATTATGAATAATCTATCAAGAAACATTTAAAAAAGAAAACCCTTCGTTTCTACAATAGCTTTGAGTTTATAGTTCTTGGAATGACTGTATTCCATTGAAGACATCTCAGTAACAGGAAGCTGTTTTAGCAATCCTATGTGCAAATATTAATAAAAAATATATAAAATAATGCAATTAATCTCTTGCCATCACCCCAGCAATCATGACATTTCTGAGAACGGTTTTGCTTGAAAATGGGTTAAGCTGTAAGTTTTGTCTGAAGCTCCATCTCTGCAACCCATTTGAGTGCAACATCCACTAGAAGCTGAAATCCACTAAAGTTCTGGTTGAGGTCCAGCAGAGTAGGGGGAGGAGTGTTGAAAAGACCACTCTGTGTATTTGTACTTGGTCCAGATTTACACGTGTCCTCTGGGTATGTGAGAGAGGTGTCTGTGAAGTTGCTGGCCACTATCTGCTATATATCTGTGTTTTGTCCCACACCAACCGACTGGCAGAGAGAGAAAGGGACATCTTTCAATGCATTCACAGTGGTATGGCAGATCACTGATGGACGAGCCAATACTGATCCCAGGGATGATGGCTGAGGAGACAGTGGCCTCCCTAGGGTTGGGTTTGGCCCAGCTGTACAGGAATGAAACGGGGTCTCCTCTAGAGCTGACATGAAGTTTCTGACGCCCATCACAGACTCCATGGAGCTCATTTCGGAAATCTTGGCTCCGCAACAGGAAATTGTGAACTGATTTGGATCTTTGCCATCCTTTCTCAGCATGTCAGGGAGGAGCCTTCGGCAGGCGTTGATGAACCAGTTACAGACCTGTAGTGTAGAGAGTGTGTTTGCTGGGACAGCAGTGCTTTTTCTTGCTTGGAAGGATAGGCATTATAATGGTGCTCATACAGCCAGTCCCAAAGAATCTGCACAGACTCCTTGGGTAGGTTGCCCCTTCTCCTTCTCTTGCTTGAGCCAGTGGATGAAGAAATGTCCAAGGGAATGTCCATACTGTCCTCATCCTCACTCTCATTGCCAGATGCTGCAACAATACCTTTCTTGCCTTTCATTCTGGAACTCCTCTCCCAGCTCGAGGCAGGGCTGGGGTCTCAAGGGGCCAGGAGCAGCGACCCAGGGGAGAAGCGATCGTCTCCTTCACAGCTGACTCTCCCTTAACTTGTAGGACGTGCTACAGCCGTTATTGCTAAACAGGGTGCTCTGATCCCTGGCGCCCACTCCTTGAGTGGAATTCAAGTGACACTCTGGCTTCCTCCCGCCAGGATCTTCCGGCAGCCGGCCGGGGGATCTCCCTTGCCCAACTCTCTCTCCTCCCCTCTCCGCTCCTTTGTTCCCTGCTCCTGCTCAGCACACCTCGGTGCTCCAAAGGTAATAATTTTTTAAGAAAGTTTCCATTGGCCATCTTTTTTTTTTTTTGAGACAGGGTCTCGCTCTGTCACTCCAGCTGGAGTGCAGTGATCATACCTCGCAGCAACCTCCACCTCCCAGGCTCAAGTGATCCTCCCACCTCAGCCTCCAAAATAGCTGGGACTATAGGTGTGCACCACTATGCCTGGCTAATGTTTGTCTTTTTTGTAGAAATGGGGTTTCACTACTTTACCCAGGCTGGTCTCAAACTTCTGAGTTCAAGCCATTAGGCTGCCTCGGCCTCCCAAAGTGCTGGGATTACAGGCACAAGCCACCACACCCAGCCTCAATTGGCCATCTTCACCCAGGAGAATACAATTAAGTCTGATAGCTATTTAGAATATATTTCAGCCAGGCTGAAATATATACAATGGCTCACACCTGTAATCCCAACACTTTGGGAGGTTAAGGCAGGTGGATCACCAGAGGTCAGGAGTTTGAGACCAGCCTGGCCAACACAGTGAAACCCCGTCTCTACTAATAATACAAATATTAGCTGGGTGTGGTGGTATGCACCTGTAATCCCAGCTACTTGGAAGGCTGAGGCAGGAGAATCGCTTGAACCCAGGAGGCAGAGGTTGTGGTGAGCCGAGATTACACCATTGCACTAGCCTGGGCAACAAGAGTGAAACTCCTTCTCAAAAAAAAAAGAATATATTTCAACATGGTAAACAGATTTTTTTAATTGAAAAACTTCATGTTCCATATGTTTCCCAATTCTATTCATTGAATAATCCATCCCTCCCCATAGATTTTTAAACGCCATTTTTTAATAGAAAATGCTTATATATCTGTTTCTGTACTTTCTATTTTTTTGTATTTCCCTTTTTTTTTTTTTTTTGAAACAGAGTTTTACTCTTGTTGCCCAGGCTGGAGTGCAATGGCACAATCTCAGCTCACTGCAACTTCCATCTCCCAGGTTCAACCAATTCTCCTGCCTCACCTTCCCAAGTGGCTGGGATTACAGGTGTCCACTACCATGCCCAGCTAATTTTTGTATTTTTAGTAGAGATGGGGTTTCTCCATGTTGGTCAGGCTGGTCTCAAACTCCTGACCTCGGGTGGTCTGCCCACCTCGGCCTCCCAAAGTGCTGGGATTACAGTGTGAGTCACCACGCCCGGTCTCGTATTTCCTATATTTATCTACTGTTGCTTATAGAGTACATTTTTGTGCTTTCAATGTTTCTTTACTGTTGCTTATGATGCATATACTCCTGCCCTACAACTCTATTTTAATTACTGTAGTTTAATGATTTTCATATTTATGAGTCTCCCTATTACTTTCCTTCTTCATCATCATCTTTGCTATTTTCTTTTTCTTTTTTTTGAGATGGAGTCGCCAGGATGGAGTGCACTGGTGCCATCTCAGCTCACTGCAACCTCTGCCTCCTGGTTAAAGTGATTCTCCTGCCTCAACTTCCTGAGTAGCTGGGACTATAGGCGCGCACCACCACAACGGGCTAATTTTTGTATTTTTAGTAGAGACGGGGTTTCACCATGTTGGCCAGGACGGTCTCAATCTCTTGACCTCATGATCCACCCACCTCAGCCTCCCAAAGTGCTGGGATTACAGGCGTGAGCCACTGTGCCCGGCCATCTTTGCTATTTTCATGAATTTTTCTAGATATATTTTAAAATTCTTTATACAAGAAATTATCAACTGTGGCATTTAGGCAGTATGACTAGAGTTGCATTAAAATGATACTTTTTTCTATAAAACGATCTTTATGATATTAAGATTCCTACTCAGAAATAAGTTGTGGCTCATGATTTCTTCAAATCATTTTTCATGGCCTGCAACAAAGTTGTTTTCCTTCATATAATTCCTACTTGCATATTAAAAGTTATATTCAAATATATTTAGCAAATTTTAGTTTCTTTTGTAAATGAAATATTTTTTCATTGTTTGGTGGCTGATTACTGCCAGTGCGTGGGGCAAAGCCTCTTCTGCCCATGTTCAATACAGAATGCTTCACAAACTGTGTCACTGTTGCGCAGGGCCATGCCAATCACCCTCATCCTTTCCACTTTTGTATACATGCTGCCAATAAGAGCAAAGCAACTGCCTTTTAACTTTTCCAACATTTTATTTTCAAAGTATTCAAAGATATATACAGAAAAGTTCAAAGAGTTTTGTAGTAATGACCTGTACAACCACCACCCAGATTCTACCAGCATTTTACTAGCCATCTTTCTTTTAACTGTCTCCCTACCCTAGGTTTACCCTTGCCTAATGTATTCTCTGCATTGTTGAAATAGTTATCTACCTAAACTATAAAAGACTTCAACAGCGCTCTCTGGGACAGCGGCCAAATTCTCAAGTATAACATACAAGGTCCTTCACAAGCTGACCCCAAGCCCCTTTCAGTATCATTTCGCACTACTCCTCTTTTCTTTGTACATGGAGTGGTCTTTGCTGAATAGCTCTTACGTAGTCTTGATGAAATCCTACTTACCCTTCATCCCAGCTCAAATTGCACCTCCACCATCAAGCCTTCCCAGAATTCCACTGGCTCCATTAGTTGCTCCCATAAAGCTCCTATAAAGCTTTGCCCATGATCACAAACTATAGTAAATATTGGCTTATATGTCTGTCTTCCCCACTAGACCATGACAGCATCCTTGCCACCAAGTAGGGTGCCTGACACAGTGGGGCTCAATAGGCTGTAAGCACAAGAAATGACAAGATGATGAAGGATGATGAAGGAACTAAGAGCCCTCAGCTCCCTGTAGGACCATCTCTGATCTGGGAATGTAGGATACGCACCTGTACAGGCATGCCCAGCTCTAGCTTCAGCCCCAAACAAGGGTCAATGAAGATGGTAAGGATGGATTCTGTAGGGTCCTGGGCAAAGTGTTCCAGAACGGCATCGTGCTCCTGTGTCCACACGGCATCCACCAGTCCCGTGAGCACAGCTCGGGAGAGGAAGAGGGGCTTCTATAAAAGGAGAGCAGACAGAGGACCAAAGTAACTACAACTGTTGGGATGTCATTCCTCTCATCCACAATTGCAGGTGAGGACATGGGAGATGACAGAAGCCAGACAGGTTCAGAATGGTGAGGAGAAACTGAACCATTTAAAAAAAAAAAAAAAGAAAGAAAGAGGCCCAGTGCGGTGGCTCACGCCTGTAATCCCAGCACTTTGGGAGGCCGAGGCGGGCGGATCACGAGGTCAAGAGATCGAGACCATCCTGGCCATGGTGAAACCCCATCTCTACTAAAAATACAAAAATTAGCCGGGCGTGGTGGCACGCGCCGGTGGTCCCAGCTACTCGGGAGGCTGAGGTGGAAGAATCGCTTGAACCCAGGTGGAGGTTGCAGTGAGCCGAGATTGCGCCACTGCTCCAGCCTGGCGACAGAGTAAGACTCCGTCTCAAAAAAAAAAAAAAAGAACACAGAGGGAAACTGGGATATTATCCTTCCAACCCAAGAGATTATCTTTGTGCCGGTGGTTTTTAAAAATATCGGCACTGGATTTCAAAGGTAAAAGTGAATGAAGGGAATGTGTAGGATAGTAGCCTAGATCAAGCAATTAGGAGCAGGGAAACCATGAGCTAGAAAAGGGAGAAGGGTATAGAAGCAATTTCTTCACCATGGCATCCGAAAGCAGTGTAAGATACTGGGTAAAGTCAATTGGTGCAGCAGTAAGGAAAAAGTGAGGGGGAGAAAAGACAGAAAAACACCAAAGAACAAATTGATTAGAAGGAAAATATATTGCAAACGGTAGCAAGCAAAAAACTTAATCTGTAGAACTCTACTAAATATAGGGCCAGGAGTGGTGGCTCATGTCTGTAATCCCAGCACTTTGGGAGGCCAAGGCAAATAGATTACCTGAGGTCAGGACTTTGAGTCCAGCCTGGCCAAGATGGCAAAACCCCTTCTTTACAAAAAATACAAATATTAGCTGGGTGTAGTGACACATGCCTGTAATCTCAGCTACTTGGGAGACTGAAGCAGGAGAATCGCTTGAACCTAGGAGGCAGATATTTCAGTGAGCCGAGATCACCCCACTGCACTCCAGCATGGACAACAAAGTGAGACTCTGCCTCAAAAAAACAACCAACCAACCAACCAAAAAAAAAAATATATATATATATATAAATATATACACACATATACACACACACACACAAATTAGCTGGGCGCAGCTGCTCATGCCTATAATCCCAGCACTTTGGGAGGACGAGGTGGGAGGATCACCTGAGGTCAGGAGTTTGAAACCAGCCTGGCCAACATGGTGAAACCCTGTCTCTACTAAAATTACAAAATCAGCTGGGCGTGGGGATGGCTGCCTGTAATCCCAGCTACTCAGGAGGATGAAGCAGGATAATTGCTTGAATCTGGGAGGCAGAGGTTGCAGTGAGCTGAGATCATGACACTGCACTCCAGCCTGGGTGACAGAGCAAGACTCTGTCTTGAAAATAAAGAAAGAAAGAAAATCAGAAGATATGAAGATACAGCTCAGTGAACTTGTGAAGTCTTTTCATCTTTCATCTTAAAAGAAGGAATCTCTCTTAAAGTTTCCAGGTCAAGAAAAATTAATAGTGATCTTTCCTCTAATACATATAGACAGGATGAACTAATGAGAAAAACACTAGGAACTCAATAAATAAATAGACAAAAGGAGATGAAGAGATGTCATTTATTTAAATGCAAATATAAAAAAATATTTTCACTCGAAATCAAATACAAATAAAAATAACAAAGAAGGCCAGTCACGGTGGCTCCTGCCTGTAATCCCAGCACTTTGGGAGGCTGAGGCAGGTGGGTCACCTGAGGTGAGGAGTTCCAGACCAGCCTGGCCAACAAGGTGAAACCCCATCTCTACTAAAAATACAAAAATTAACCCAGCATGGTGGCATGTGCCTATAGTCCCAGCTACTTGGGAGGCTGAGGCAGGAGAATCGCTTGAATCTGGGAAGCAGAGGTTGCAGTGAGCTGAGATTGCGCCATTGCACTCCAGCCTGAGTGACAGAGCAAGACTCTGTCTCAAAAAAAAAAAAAAAAAAAGTAAATCATTTATTGCCTATTGCCTATCATTTTTTTTAAAAAATCCTTGCTAAACAGATAATACCCAGGCCTGGAAAGGTGTCTTATTAGCATGAGGGCAAAAAGTACAATGCATTTGGAAAGCGTTATGTATTAAAAGTGATAGAAATGTTCTTTATTCTTTGATTCAGTAACTCCACATACAGGAATCTATTTTAAGGAAATATTAAGTATTTCAAGAGTGTTAGTTTTACTTATCGTATTCACGAAAGTATTAAGAGAGCAAAAATTAGAAATGGCAAAATGGCCAAGAGGAATGGTTTAACTACGCTACCTGCATAGAACACAGAACACCATCTGGTCTTGAAAAATGCTGTTTGCAAAAAGTGGTGCCCTGAGGCTCACATCTATAATCCGAGCTCTTTTGGGGGCTGAAGCAGGAGGATGGCTTGAGTCTGGGAGTTCAAGACTAACCTTGGCAACACAGTGAAACCACAATCTCCACCAAAAAAAAGTTTTTTTTTAATTAGCCAGGCATGGTAGAACATGCCTGTAGTCCTAGCTATTCAGGAGGCTGAGGCAAAAAGACCACTTAAGCCCAAGAGTTCAAGGTTACAGTAAGCTATGATCGTTTCAGTGCACTCCAAATTGGACAACAGAGAAAAAAACCTGTCTCTTAAAAAAAAAGTTTACAAAAAGTACATAACATGAAGAATAACAGCTGGGCATTAAGGCTCACACCTGTAATCTCAGCACTCTGGGAAGCCAAGGTGGCCAGGAGTTCAAGACCAGGCTGGCAAACCTGCTGGCAAAACCTTGTTTCTACTAAAAATACAAAAATTAGCTGGGTGCCTGGGCACAGTGGCTCATGCCCATAACCTCAGCACTTTGGGAGGCCGAGGCAGGAGGATCACTTGAGCCCAGGAGTTCAAGATGAGTCTGGGCAACACAGTAAAATCCAATCTCTAAAAAAAGAAAAAAATTAGCCAGGTGTGGTGGCAGGAACCTGTAGTCCCAGCTACTCAGGAGGCCGAGCCATGAGAATCCCTTGAGCCTGGGAGGCGGAGATTGCAGTGAGCCAAGACTGTGCAACTGCACTCCAGCCTGGGCGACAGACCAAAACTCTGTTTCAAATAATAATAACAATAAAAAAATTTAAATATTTTGTGAAAAGGCATAATACAAAACTATAACATGATACACTCAGGATTATACAAAAGCAAATTTACAAGCCTGTGCCCAAAAAGAAAATATATATCAAAATACCATTATTATATATATATTTTTTGAGACAGAGTTTTGCTTTTATTGCCCAGGCTGAAGTGCAGTGTCACAGTCTCAGCTCACTGCAACCTCCACCTCCCAGATTCAAGCAATTCTCCTGCCTCAGCCTCCCAAGTATCTGGGATTACAGGCTCCCACCACCACACTCTGCTAATTTTTGTATTTTTTGTAGGGGGGAGTTTCACCATGTTGGCAAGGTTGGTCTCAAATCCTGACCTCAGGTGATCCACCCACCTCAACCTCCCAAAGTGCTGGGATTACAGGCTAGAGCCACTGTGCCCAGCCAGACATGAAAATATTAATATTAAATGTTTTGGCAGTAACGCTATGAGTTTTATTTTCTGTTTTACTTTTCTGTTCATTCTAATTTTTTTCTTCGATAGTTATTACTTTTCTTTCCCTTTTTGAAAAATTTCAAGGTCATCACTGTATTCTTCTCACCCAGGTAACTATGGTCATGACTAAGATTTGATGCAACTTGGAAATAAAGAAGCAGAGGTCATTTAGTGCCATTTCCCAAGGGGACTGAAGCAGCTCCTCTAAATTCTTCAGCCAAAGAAAAGAACTGAAGGAAAGTTGGAAAGAGAATGTCTTAGAAATTAGTATCCAATTGACTGGGCATGGTGGCTCCCGCCTGTAATCCCAGCACTTTGGGAGGCTGAGGTAGACGAATCACAAGGTCAGGGGTTTGAGACTAGCCTGGCCAATATGGTGAAACCCCACATCTACTAATAATACAAAAATTAGCGGGTGTGGTGGTGTGCCCTGTAGTCCCAGCTATTCAGGAGACTGAGACAGAATAATTGCTTGAACCTGGGAGGCGGAAATTGCAGTGAGCCAAGATTGTGCCACCGCACTCCAGCCTGGGCAACGGAGTGAGACTCCATCTCAAACAAAAAAGAAAAGAAAAGAAATTAGTATCCAATTAGGACAATTATCTTCCCAGCTCATTCAACTTGTTCAGGTATTCACCCACATGATGAAGAAGCTCATCACAGTTTGACCCAAGGTGGGGAAACAAGAGACAAGAGAGACCTGTTCCTTACTTAAAGCCCTCCTCTTGCCTAGCGAAGGCACAGATGACTGTATTTTACTCAGTGAACTGAATTTGTGGTGAGTGGTAGGCTAACAGCAGAGAGGAGGTAGAAGAAGAGAGAATTCTTCATGCACCATCCACAACTGACCCTTTGATTACCAGTTCTTGAGGAAGAAGATTTGTCACAGGGAAGACCCAAGCCTACCACATCTGCCTCAGGCTCCACGGATTCTTCACTCTGTGTTTGAGGTCCCTCCAACAGTGGCTCTGGGAAGAATAAAGATACAAAAAGGAAGGCATTCCTTGGAAAGTTAAACATAGTCAGCCTGCCTCGACCTCCCAAAGTGCTGGGATTACAGGCATGAGCCACTGCGCAATTCCACTTCTAGGTAGACATCCACGAGACCTGAAAGCAAGGACTCAAAGGGATATTTACATTCCAGTGTTCGCAGCAGCATTATTCACAACAGGCAAAAGGTGACAACAGCCCAGTGTCCTCTAACAGAAGAATGGATAAACAAAGCGTGATGTATACAGGCAGTGGGATATTATTCAGCCATCGGAAGGCATGGCGGTGCGCTTCATGCTGCAACA